AAAAATAGCAAATCTCACCATTGAACAATGTGCCAGAACCTTCGCTGTCCCTTTTTGTTAATCATGAGGGTGACATTTGGCTTTCACTGGGCACCTTGACTAAAGGTGGGACTGGAGCTGACTTTGGGAAGAGGTTGAGGCCAGGGTCTACACTCAATGAATGCTCTAGTTCCTGAGGCAGGATTTGGAGAATCCTGGAAGAACCACATGGAGAAACAGACAGAAAAGAAAATGCCACCGTGAGATGCAGGGGTGCCATGTGGTCCAGAGCAGCCAGTGAAAGAACTGAGAGTGAGCCCTCTTCTCGATGATGAACTCTCAGAAAGTTTTTGATTATTTCTAAAAGATATATTCATTATAATAGAAAGAGTGAAGACATGAGAGACCTCAATTAAATCAGGTAAATATTGAAACAATGACAAAGTGAAATGTACATAACGAAGAACCCAATACATAACATAATGATTTAACAAGAAAATACCATTTCCTAACACAAATTATAGGAGAGTTTACTCTTATTGTCCTCTTTTTGTTACTTGTTTTTTTTTTTAATTGTTGTTTATGAGGTTGGAGATCAAAACCTAAATCTGAAGTCTTCATAACTTGCTGTTGCTTTTGATCAAAGAAGGAAAGGATTCCTCGAGTCAAGGGTAGATTCTAGGTGTTCTGACCGGAGGAGTGTCTGGATCTGTAGAACTGAACAGTAAGAGGTAGCTTTGGATCTCTCTACATCAGGTAAGAGATGGAGCTCCTGGGGCTGTGGAGCTAGTGAGGGAGGACATAGGTAAGGAGGAGGGAGAAGGGAGCTGACACAGGAACTGAGCTGGTATTTATTGGCATTTGCTATATGGTTGGAAACAAAAATGTTTTCTATACCACAAGTTGTCAGCATCTGTATCCTAATCCACTGGATGTTGGTATGCATTAATTGGTAAATAGAGCCTCACCGGTCCATAAGAAGAGATGCATGACACTGAGGGTGAATGTGTTCCACTGCTTGGCATCATCCTATGTGGTAGAAAACCTGGATTTCTGGTTTTGAGACCTTGGGTCGCTCAGATTCTGAAGTGGGCACTACATCATTTGTATGAACTAAAGTGAGATAGATCAGGGTGTCTGCAAAGTACCTTTTAATTCTAAGATATGATAATTTTAGAAGTATTAGGACCAAGTCACACTTTACTACAGAGTGTTACTAAGGAGACAGACTTGGATTCAAATCTCTTTTGCAACACATTTTAGAAAGTAGAGCCTAGGACGTACTACAGAACATTCCTTATTCTCTGTTTTCTACTTTAAGGTAGGAATATCTCATAAGTAACTGGGGGAATAGGAGATGTTTGTGGACATTTAACATGGTTCCTGGTTCACGGAAAGCTCACAGTAAACGGAAACGATAAAAATTATCACCATAAAGCTTGAGATTGCGTTGTTTAAATCCTAACAGCTTTTCTTTTTTAATGAAAAAGATCAAACCTAACTAAACTACCCACCTCCAGGCACTTTAGTTGGACAAGTTTGTTCTGATGTGTGAAATTATGCTTGAATGCCTATTTGCTTCACAAACACAATTTCCTCCCTTTTATTCAGGTGGTAAAGTATTTATGAAGATTTATCTTTACCTACTTGGAACTTAAAAATGCGAGTCTTAGTTCAGAGTAGGAACAGCACGAAATTGTAGCAACCTTCACAAAGTCGGAACACTAGCTATCCCATAGTCTGTACATTGGTAAATTTATTCTCCCACATTTGGACATGGATAAGTATGTTGGTGTGGGTCTCTTTTTTTTAATGTCTTCGTCAAGTTTCTGGCCTTTTGTGGGGTGTCTAACTTTCTGTTTCTTCTCTTCTTAGATAGCTGCTAAGAAGTTACCCTGGTGTGGGCTCCAGGGCAAAGACCAGACCGTCCGCTAAGTCTCCCTGGGGTGCTGTAACTGAGCCCTCAACATCTGGGCCCGTCCTTCTATTAATTCTAAAGTGGTCTGGTGGTGGTGGCACATGCCTCTAATCCTAGCACTCAGGAGCCAGAGACAGGTGGGTCTCTGAGTTCAAGGCCAGCCTGGTCTACAGAGTAAGGTCTAGGATGGCTTGCTTCAAAGCCCCTCTACTTTCTCCTATCTTACCTGTTTTCTGCCTACCTAAAGTGTCACGCAAAACGACTATTTTGCTTGATGACATTGTTTAATATGTAAAATATCTCTCATAAGGATTTATGATAAAACACATTCTGAGGATTTTTTTTTAAATTTGTAGTTTTGAACTAACTGTAGATTCACAAGAATAAAAAACGTCATGGTATGGTGCCACGTGCCCTTTGCTCAGCTTCCTCTGACGGCAAAATCTCACATAACTAAACTAGTATCAGACTACAGATTAACTTTGGTTTATTGCAATTCACTGGCCATGGCTAGGGGACTGAAGGACAACAGGCTGGCTTTTCTGAGCCCAGCTCAGCGTCTGTGTGTGTCACTCAGCAACAGCTCTGGGTTAATGGGCTGCCATCTCCACTCTGTCCCTTCAGAGCAAGGCTGAAGCTGTAATGGCACTTTATCCTATTGCTTATTAAAGTATCTGGCATTCAGTTAGGCTTTTTGGTGAAAACATGGCCAATAGCTCTTCCCATCTATAGGAAGCTTCGCTGTTTTCAAGACCCAATTATCTGTGCCACCCCTGCTGAGGATGATCGTTGTCCAGAGGAAAGAGCATCAACCCAAATCACTCAAATCTTGGCATTATTAGTGCTAGCCCTGTGACATGGCACAACATGTCCTTGGGTCTTGCTGAATTGTTTCTACATAATCGTTATTATGAAGATTTAATTTTTTTTTTCTAGCAGAGACTGAATACAAGGGCTCTGAGAAGTAGATAAGGTAACATATTTGATTGGCATTTTACAAACTAAGGTTCAAAGATGGTAAATTAATTGCTGAGAACAGTAGAACCAATACTACAGTAGAAGCAGTAGTAGAACCAATGCAGCTGAACATGTTAGCATGGTGTCTTCCAAGATACCACATTACCTTTCCAAAGTACCAGAGGACTGGATCAACACAACACAACACAACACCCAGCCAAGCCAAAGGAAGCCAGCCCAGCACACGGAGTAAAAAACTCACAGCTCAGGGCAGCAGTAGAGGGTTAGGAGCCTGCCCTTCTATGCTACTGTTGATGACCTTTGCTGATGTCCTTTGCTGTGTGCACAGAGAGTCCCCACTTGGGTGGATGGATTTGAGTGATGGGCTACAATCAAGGTGGACTGAGTTTATTATGGGTTACTATGTTAGGGTCTCTGCAAAGGTCCTCCCGGTCACCCAGGTTGCACAGGTAGCCTGGAATCCTGCTCCTCATCTCTGTGTCACCGTGTTGCCCCATCCCCAGTGGAAAACATGGAATGTTTAGAATTTGCAGCTTGCGACTATGCAACTACTTACAGGTTTTGTTTTTTTGTTTGTTTTTAAACCTCAAGAGAACTGAAATATAACAAGATGATATTGTCATCATCGTTATCACTTTCAGTATTTTGCTCATGAAAATAATTTATTAACAAAAGAATGTTAACGTGGAACATTTTTATAGCCTGGAACGTCTTTAGTACCACATCTGCCAAAATTCCTTCTTAAACTGCTCTGAACACCTTTTATACACCTGAAATTCTTCATAATAGAACACCTGTTTTAGAAGAATTCCTCTGGATCTCTCAGTCTATGCATTTCCTTGAAATAGAATAGAAAATGCTAAAATTGTTTGTTAATTTCAAAGGGCTCTTGCTGCAAATGTCAGAAGCTTGTGTACAGCTCATGTGTGTGTGTGTGTGTGTGTGTGTGTGTGTGTGTGTGTGTGTGTATGTGTGTGGCCCTGATACCTTAAGCACTAGGTTATAATTAGAAAGATTCAGTGTCTTGATGATGATGTGAAGTTTGAGTTTTTCTTACTTTAGTTACACGTGGGTATGTCATAATTAAGACTGAGATAGAGAAAAGTAGGAGCAGAATATTCTCAGGGATTCCTAGTCACTTCCCTGGTTTGGAAACCATCTCAGTCTTTGACTATTTAGATTAGTTGTACTGTGGAGAAAAGGAGAAAAAAATCATCAAAGCATAGTATATGCCTATCGGAATTAAGGGATTTAAGATGGAAGGTTACCCTGAGAAATTAAGTAGAATATCTTAGTATAAACAAAAGTTTTGTAGACTTTGAGAGCCAGAAGAACATAAACATGCTTGTGTTTTAAATTTGGGGGTGTTCGTATCCCCAATACCCTAAAATATTGGGGGAACTCAGAAACTTTAATTCTGTACTGGGTTTGGATTATTTAATTGTTCTAACAAACATAAGTGTTTTTTTTTTAACTCAGACATGACAATTCAATGAGACATAATGAGTAACAGCCCTTTCCCTAAAATTGTAAACAAGATTAAAAACAAAACCCGTGGCTGAATACACAAAGGAAAATTGCCATTATATTAAAAGCAAAATGACTTTTTGTTTTCTTGGGTATCTATGTTTTTCATTGTTTTATGTTTTCCCTCGTTTTCCTTTCAAGGGATAGTGCAAAACCTGGCAGAGGAGTTACATGGCTACATGTAACTCTGTGTGGATGCACACCCCAGGGAGCATATCATGGGATGGCAATGTGCTACAACTACATAGAGACGAATGAGTATCAGGAACTCCCGGGATAACTCAATGGACATATTGGTTGTACAGAATGTATAGATTGCTTTTAAATATGAAAATACTGCTCATCAATTATAAAAGTTGCCTGTTACTAAGCATAGGCTTATAAAAACATGTTAGTTTTGCTTAACTTTTGATTATGACAGTATATTCCAGTACAAATATCAGAAACATACTAAAAGGAATGATTCTAAAGTAAGATTGCAATTTTATCAGAGCATGCATTTTAGCTTAAAAGCATAAATGTAAGGAATGAACATTTGTACTTATAATTATTTCACAAAACACTAAGGCACAGAAAATTAGATGCTGAGCATACTCACAGTATTTTCCAATAATGAAGATGCAGAAGAAGAATGGACCAGATGTCATTTCTTTCTTTCTGAGCAACTGATTAATGAAAGTAGATAAAATGTGGTCTTGGATAAAATGAGTCGCGCACAGCTCACAGTGGTTGTGCTATTTCTGTCCGCAGTCTTAGCAGCTATAAGGCAGCTCTCTCTCTCTCCCTCTCTCCCTCTCTCTCTGTCCCTCCCTCCCTTATTCCCTTCCTTCCTTTATCCCTCCGCCCCTTCCTCTCTCCTCTCTTGATTCCCTTTTCTGAAAGCCTTAATTAATATCTTCACACACACACACACACACACACACAGACACACACACACACACACACACAC